CAAGATAATACAGGACAAACTATTTATCTGTCCTGTATTATCCTGTGTAGAGCAGACCCAGAGCAGCCCCAGTGTAGCTAAAACGAACAAGCCCAATGCTTGGTAGTGTAACGGATGCATAGATATATTACATATAGATAGAGCTTTGTGAATCTTACGCGTGCCAAGATAAAATTATCTTTTCCTCCCTCGCGCATGTGCAATCGCGCATTTATCTTCTGTTTATCACTGATCTCTATATTACACTGGATGGCGTATCGAATAGGACAGCTTGTTACGGTAGCCATCTTTGATAAAGTAAAATATGCAAATATGGTAGCGTTCACTGTTGAGGTCAGTTGAGGTTGAGATTCCAACTGTCGTATGTACGTCGTATCGAGTTAGTTGAACAAAATTTTTACTCATGCTACAAAAATGGTATCATCGTGTACATATTGTGGTTCAAAACAAGGGATCGAGGGTAGAAACACATCATAAGTAAGTATATAAGTTACATATCCACATATTTATGCCTTACAGGTTATGTAAATTTTTTATTGCATTTAATGTCATATCTTTTTCAAAATTAATATTGTGGAATATTTTTTGTGAAGGTTTCCTCTGAAAGATAAGGAAATATTGCAGTTATGGTTGCAGTTATGCTGCAACAAAGATAGCATCTGAAACTGCTGTTGGGACGAAAATTCGTCATCACTTAAATCGACGAATTATCTGGGAACGTCAGTGATAGTTATTAATAAGATTAGTAAAAACTAATTACCTTGTACTAAAATTGAGTTTGACCAAAATGAGTGTCGCTTAAATCTTCTGCTAGTCTTCAATAGATCTTATATTAAGAAGATTATTTTCTCAAATGTAGCCTTGGGATAATATAATATAAGCATGCTTTCGATAACTAATTATTATTTATTTGCATGAATTGCAATAAAACAAGCAGGTGTTGTAATAAGTTACTCAGCAGTACGGCTTGGCATGAATCGCACCAAAAAATATGAGCTGTGAGCTTTGTTAGATGTAAGATTTTATTGTTCTTTGCGTGAAGTAATATTTTGCATGAATCGCACCAAAAAATATAAGCTTTGTTAAGGTTTATAAGGTTTTATTGGTTCTCTACATAATGTTATATTTCATTTGTATTTCTTTCAAATTTACAAATAATAAATATGTTTAAAACTTAATTCGAGACATATCACTAAGAAAAGAAGAATTACTCAATTTTCTTGCATACTTCCGATTCTTAACGTGACTGTTTCATTTTATTTCTTTACAGATATTACAAAATAACACTGGCACTGAAATCTTAATAAAAAATAAAAATTAATTGATTTACCAGTAAGTATATAAATTTTATATTGAAAATATTTTTTAATAATATTCAATTTTATTTCTAATAATGAATTTTCAATAATCAATTTTTTACATTACATTTTAATTTTTACTTTGCAGTTTGTGAAAATCTGCTTCTTATATAATTGTACATACTTAACATTGGAATTTATATTTTATGTATTACTTACATTATATATATTGTAATATCATATTCAATATTTTTATTTACATTTATAACAATTTTTGATTTTTAATGTATTACTTTATTAGTTGTATTACTTATTGCAAAAAGTTTGAAAATAAAAATTTTGAAAAAAATCATCGACTTTTAATTTTTTCTACAAAACATATTTTTAACATATTTTCCTATATATTGTTCATTTAGAATTATTATATTTTTTAATATTATTTTATATTTATGCACATTTACTCATACTACTACCTTTTCTACTTGTGAACAATAAAAATATTTTTTTAATCGTTGTTTATATTATTACCGTCATTTGAATTTTACCGCCGAAAAATGCATATTTTACTGTATCAAATATGGCTGCCGGGTCTTCAAATCGTAACACACATTTTGTACAGCATACGCCATCCAGTGTAATATAGAGATCAGTGTCTGTTTATCCATGACAGCCATTGAGTTCTATAACATACTGGAGCGAGCCTTTCAGGAGTGGGGATGTCTCCATCGGTCGAAAAAGACAGATAGATTACGTGAGGCTAGTCTTCCTTGTCAGCGTATGTTTTCAGCATAAGCAATA